ACGATGTTAAAGATAACCAGCACCCTCCCTGCCAGCCGCTAGCTGCACAGTTGCAGCCTACCCAGCCTGATGGGACCTTGCTTTTCCAAGACGCCTTTTGATGAGCCACCTGGAAGCCCTGGCTGGTGCTGCCACCGGCTGGGCGCGACACCACGGGGCAACGCCAGGGCAACGGGTGCATTGTGGTGCTCCGTGAGCATCCTCCGCGAGCCCTGAGATGCCAGCATGCAGCGCTCTGCAAACCCGCTCCTCAGGCATGTAATTCGCAGGGGCTTCTTTGATGCTGCTTCAAAAAGGCAATGTTTGCAGTATTTAACAGCTCTGAGGACACTGCAGTTTCAGGGTTTCAACACTGTTTTTTTAGGGGAAACAGATATTCCAGAAAGTCTTGTCACAGGAGAAAGAACAGCTGAGGAGGCCAGCCCACGCTGGCCAGTATGGACAATTGTTCACACTGGCAGCAGCCAAGGGTGGGTGCCCTGGAGGTAGAAACTGCTATTAAGAGGCGATCTGCCCATCTGCCAGCAGAACGGGATCTTTCAGGAGTTGTGTGACTCTCTGACCAGCTCCTATGGGAAGTGTGTAATTGTGACGAGGGACAAAAGGCAGCCGATGCCTGTGGAGGTGAAAGATGGCACGGAGACGGGAACTCTGCTGCCAGCCCCACCAGCAACCTACACATCCAGCACTGAGTGTTGTCCCAAAGTTGCTAGAGCCAATGGCCATGAACTTCTTGTTGTGCCTTCGTCTTACAACTATCTCTGTCCCATGGATGTCGCCTGGTCCTGTTTGAAATGGTTTATGATAAACAACAGGCAGGACTTTGCCCTGAGGTCTATTGAGAGAACCCACTCCTACAGGTGCATCCTCTTCAGTGACTTGATTGTTGAAGGAATAGTGAAGATGACCCCAGACACATGGAAGATAGTGATTAACAGAGTGAAGAGATGGGAGAACCACTACTTTGCCACACTTTCTTAAATGGTTCTTCCTGCAGTCAGGCCTCAAATGTGTTTTGAATGAGTTACCCTGTTCCATCTCTGCTGAGCCCTTTCCTTCAAAGGCTGTAAACTTAATTAACACATGTAAATAGCACTAATAAAAGAGATAATTTTAAATCTGAATCTTTCATTTTAGGTGTAGTCCAGGATTACGTTGATATGCATTACGATTGCGCTGGGAAGCAACAGTTAATTTGCCTTATAACAAAAATGGGCCAAAGCATGCCTAAGATCCAGTTTTGCCATCCTTCTGCATAAATTCCTCTGTCATGGGAGCCCTGAGACCATGCCTCAGATGTAAATGCCCTCAATTTTGAGAAAGACTGGGCTGCAAAACGAATTCTGCAGGTCAGGCCTGTCTTTGACCCAAATGGGAGATCTGCTCCTGAGCAGGGAATATGCTGGACCATGACTGACAGCAGAGTCCATGGCTTAAAAAAGTCTGAGGAATTTAATGTGACTTTCCCATAATATAGACGTTAACAGTGGATATCAGCTCAGTAGTTCATTACACCAAGTACCTTGCTTCCAACAAGCAATAAACATTTCGGTGAAAGGTAAAAGAAATCTGTCCAAAGGGGAAGTTCCTTTCTGAAGCCTGAGAATTAGTAGTCGGTTCAGGCTTTAAAGCATGAAGAGTTCAGTCTCTCAAGATAAAATATGGCACTCCTCCTTTGAGATTTTATTTATCCATCACATCCATTACCGAGATATAACGATTCTCACAGAATTGAGTTCAAAAGATTATTTAGGAGTGATGCAAGGTAGTATTTCTTCACAGCAGTTTTAAATGTGCAGCTTTTCAAGTTCATTGAACGCTTTCTGTTTTTTGGAAAGTGGCTCCCAATCTACGTTCTCTGTGTTGCTTGTTACTGGGTATGTGTTTACTGTGTACTTCTAAGACAGAGAACTATGCCCAGAAAAACATAATAGAAATAAGTTATGAGATGATTCACAGTTTCACCAAAACATTTCCATACAGTGAGGCAAATCTGCGCAGTTTTTCTTCTGTGTGTGTAAACCATTTAAACAAGCATTGTAATTTGGTATGGCAGAAAGGTATCTAAACAAGGCAGCCTCATCTACTTTCAGAAGAATCCAGGCATGCAATTCTCTAGAGCTGAGATATGAATACAGAGAGAAAAGTAACCATCTTTCTCAGCTTCATATTCATCAGCAAAAACATATGCTCGTTTTTTACTAAAACAGATATAGCAGAGAATGGAAAATGGAGTGGTTCAAAGGCAAGGCAGAAAGAGTGGGGGCTAAAAGGAGAGAGACTGGAGAGGAACAGGAGTGTTATTATTATCCTGGTATCATGTCCCTGAACATAATTTTCCATTGGCTTGAAGCAGCAATTGCTCTACTAAATATCGATGAATATGAAGTGGGGTGAAATCAGCACGAGGAAAGAAATGGGCCCGGTGCCTCTTTACCGCAAGGATAGGCAGTAATTGCACACTAGCTTGGTTTTCTTCACAAACAAACGATGCACAACCCATTTTCCCAACAACTGTTTACCTTCATCCGATGACACAGCACTGCACGACTGGGGAGAAGTAACAGTGCGCTGTAGTCAAATCAGCACAAACCTGATGACTTCATTGCTCCATTTGGGATTCACACGAAGAAGAAGGAGACCAAACCTGAATGGAGCGGAGTCCCGGGCTGCTGCCTCACTGCAGCTCAGCCTCGCCAGTCTCTGCTGCCATGGCTTACGCAGCTACAGGCTTAGGGCCGCATTGCGACACTTCTTCCCTGGTAGGGTCTGTCTTCTGCCATCCCTAACTCACAGTGGAGTCCACAGGACAGAATGACCCGCTTTCCATCCATTTTAGCAACAAGCAAGTACCAAACGGGAGTAATTTGTGCCAGAGGAACTTATCGGTCTTCCCTGGTTTGTATTCTTTGGTAAAGCGAGGGTGACTCCTCCACGAAGGGTTTCATGGACACTGGCAGGAGGAAAGCGGAAGTGTTTGGTGCCACATCTCCCAGAGAGCGAGGGAAAAACATCCTTGCCCTGCGAAGGGCTGGGAAAGCCTCGCTAAGCACCTTCACTCTTCCCAGCCTCCCGCTGGGAGGCTGAGGGCTGGCGAAACTTTTCTACGCAGTCCTATTCAACGTGTATGCAAACCTGTGGGCAGGAAAAATAACCTAGTCTGAAATCAAATGATCTTTGGTATTTTATATAAAATCTTCTGAGATGAGTCCTCTTCTTTCTTCCTCCCTCCCTCTTTGCTGCTGCAGAAGGGTAATTACAACCCATGTTTTATACAAAACGTTGCAACCCTTTGTACCAAAGAAAAATATTGTGCCTCATACAGCTCTGACTCAACTGGTAATTCAGGATGACGAGCAATTCCTTTAACATATGACTAAACAAGCTAATAGGAGGATGTTACCCAATAGCATGCACCTTATACAAGAGCACTTGAAATAGCATGTGTGAGTCTAATATCTTCTTGGTAGGACTTTAAATACCTATTATTTTATTAGGTTTGCTAGCAAAAGCTCTTGCAGTGAGGCTCAGTGCACTTGACCACTGCAGGAGGTCAAAGCAAATCTCTTTGTTCCCACTCACGACTCTCTCTGTGTGACTGAAATGCACCACTAGAATAAAACAATTAAAGTATCCTTGCATAAAGAGGAGAGGCAGATGACAATGCGTATGTTGATGAAAAAGCTGTAACAGATGCCCCCCTACTCTAAGCTAGCTGGAATGCAAATCACCTGAATTTTCATGATGTCTCATTGACTAATTACTTCTAAATGCTTTTCCAAGCCTCATCTTCACGGAAAAAAAAAAAAAAACCCACACATTTATTTTCCTCCTGCTCATGAACCAGGCCTGTAACGATTGGCTCAACACATTTTTTCCCTGTCTTCAAGTCTTTTGTCCTAATAGCATGCTGCAACCCAGGGTACAGGTAGGACAAACGCACTTGGTGCAAGAGCCTACAGAGGCCCAAGCCAGGGACGCAACAACGGGACACAAGGTGCGAGCTTCTGTGACCGAACAGGCAGAGTGGGACCCATTTTGTGCCATGCCTGAGAACGGGGAGAAGGTTGGACAGGTAGTGGAAAGGCAACCCACAATCAGTCAAAGCCCAGCCTCTGTTTCTGTGAAATTGTTCCTCCTTATTTCCTTCCGCAGCGACCGTGTAGAAGAGGTACGGAGAGGAATGCACAGAGGAAAGATGGAGGGATACAGGAACAATGCTCTACATAAGAAAGGTAAAATAAGAAAACTGTTTTAGAAAATAAATACATGTAAGGGTCAGTCTCATTCATGTGACTTAAACTGCACTTCACTGTCAGTGTCTGACATTTCTTGTTGGCTAGCTCTAAGCCTTCTCAGATCGATGACAAACACTAAGCCAGAAGAGTAGCCTGAGTTTCGGCCAGAGGAATATGAGTCTTAGCAAATCAAAAGAGCCATAGGACTGGGAAAGTGCCACACCATCAGAAGCAGAGGCATTGGAGGGCAAAACCAACCAACATGAGGAAGTCCAGGAAAAGAAGAGACTAATAAAAAATGATAGTCACACATGCTGTGTTTCTAGTGATCAACAGGAAGCAGCTATATACGTTCTCTGCGCTGTGACAGCCATCTCAAGAGCCTTTGGCTAGACTGGAAAGAGTCTCACGGTGAGGCAGCCTTTGATGCTGGTACACACGGACATTTTCAACAGCTCTCTCACCACGTTCAAAGAGGGAGAAATTGATGGCATATGGAGAAACACATGGATACGTGTCTAATCACTTGTTTGTGCCCAAACAAACTTTTTCTCTGCAGGAACATATGAGGAGTCCATTGCTATGGGGATAACTGTTCTGGCAACTACCATGTATTTCTGTTCTCATCTGGAGAAGGGCCAGCTGGTGCTCTCATTATCCCCGAGACTGGTACACACATAGGCCAGACAAGGTCCAGCTAAGCCTAGATGATAAGCTGGGCTTGCTCCAGTAGCCAAGACAGACCAGCTTCAAAAGCCAAAGCCAAACTGTGGAGTGACGTGGGTTGTGCGTAAACATCCAGCCACCTCTGAGTCCCCAAACCAGGTAGTCACTTACAACCAGACTATCTGAAAACGGCTTTTGACACATGTCCACCAGGGAAACATAAAGTCAGGTTTTAGAAATCTTACCTGCTCTATCTCCACATTCTCATGTGGGTTGCACACTTGCACAGCTGTGATGCTAGGTTTATTTTCCGCGCAATCGGGAGCATGTCAGACACAAGGCTGTCACAGGGTAGTCAGCTCCTTCATGCGAGGTCTCAGCTCCTCACTAAACTTGACTGCGGTTAACACATAGTTAACAAATAGGGAGAGGATGCAGCAAGTCGATGCATCTTCGGAAGCAATTTTGTAAAGACTGTGAAAAACTGGTGAAGGCTAAAACAAGAGCAGTTCATCTGACACCAGTCTACCGTTTCTCCCATGACTGAGCTGGAAAGGGGGCTGTGAGAGTTTGTCGCAGTGCTCTTTGGCCAGAGTTGAGGCCAGGAGGTTGACAGTCAGCGGGTAGGCAGAGATGGTGACTGAGTGTCACATGTGAGAGCTGGTATCAAGGAGAACCGGGAAGGACTCTACCCCAGACGGAACATTTGTAAGGCCTTTACTGAGAAGAGCAAGAAAAAACAGCTGGATTTGCTGATCCGCAAGAGGAAAACTGAGGAAGGAAATGCTGGAAACAGTTGTTTGCATGTGAGGCTCTTGGAAGAGCTGAAAAATATTTAGCTCCCTGACTTGCAGCACAATGGCTCAAAGCAATTGCCCCTGCCCTGTGGGGCTGCTCAGGGAGCTCTGCCTTCCTCCAGCACCAGTGCTGCTGTGTTTCTGGCAAAAGTCTCGTGGCCTTCAGACTAAAAGTATTCAGAGGTACTAAAATCAAGCTGAGCTCATTTTAGCCAAAGTCTAACATGGATGAGAAAACAGGCCCGTTGAACGTTTCTTCACTTTTTTTTTCACTTTAAGG